AATAGCATACAACCCTTTCTCAGATTCGGAGTCCGGGAACGCCTACTTGAATTTTGAAGTGGCAGAGTTGTTAAAATTCTGGACAGAGAAGATTATTGAAATTGACGCGATAGAAAGGGTAAGGCCGAGCCTAGGCCTAATACTTGAGTAGATGCCAGAAGTGATCAGCGTGCCGCAATCGAACAGGAGGGTGGAGTTGAAGATGTGAAATAGAAATAGCATGCTGATTACGAACTTGGGGACGGTTTGGAAGTTGCTGAAGCCTTCCTGGTGCCCACATCCCCCCGCAAGTTTGGTTGAAAAAGTCACGGAGCAAGTGAGACTGTCAACAACGAAGGATGAGGACTTGGGGAATCTGAATATGCTACACAAACTGATCCTACCCCATAGTAAGGAGTCGGAAGAAACAACGAGCAAGCTAGACAAATCAGCGAAGAAGATGGAACCCGGTAGTTGTCTGGCCCTGATGTGTGGAAGTGGAGAGCATTCTTGCGATGGAAGATCCTGTGTCAGGATACAGTATTTCCAGAAGGAAGGCTTAGCCAATTGGTTTGGTGACATCACAGAGAAGGAAAAGAGCGAAGTACAGATAATGGCTGAGTGTTACACGATTACCACTGTAAATATAGTAGCGGCGTTGGGGTTCTTCTCATGGATGTACAGCTTGCAATCGCTGGAGATGCTAGAGTCCGAGCACCACTTGGTGACAGCGTTGAGCGTGGAGTCATGGCCTGGGGCGTTACAAATAACCCAGAAACACATCAGAGGGTGAAAGATTGGTCTTGGGGCGGAGATGGGGTTTCCCGTGAGTGAAGCCTATAGTTTGCCAGTGAACGCGAATTCCCTAGTGGGATCGGTGATGGCCAACCTGTGTGGAAGCCACTATCCATTACACATGGCAATGGTGGAGGTATCCAGTCAGAGGATACTAATCGACAAAGCCTACTCGATACCCAAGTGCGTACGCCTGGCTCGAATGTCGCAACTCTCGCACAGACTATTGAGAAAGATCCTGGGAGCTTTAACGGGGAGAACAAAGAGAAAACTTGAATGAGATCTGGGGGGAGGAACTCTTGAGTTTGGAAGGTGAAAACGCGAGTGATTTCGACAGACAGAACACGATCGGGAAACCGATAAACAGTACCCCAGCCATGGAGGAAAATGATGTGACACACGAGAAAATGATGGAGCTAGAAACTCTGCTGGAAGCTTCGGGAGAACGCAACCTCCGGAGTATCAACTTCACCCATGTGGAATGCCCGTGCCACTGTCTGGCACAGATGGTGGACGGTGTGGTATCCGGAGCACTCGAACCTCTGCTTGATATGGGACCTGGAGGAAGTTCGGTCAATCGGGTTACCCGATCATCGACAGAAGGTCACCCTCCTAGTAGTAAGTTCAATGCTGGCGTTCCGATGGATCGAGGAGAATATGACGAAATATCAGGAGTCGAAGGCACCGACAGCGGAATTGATACACGCTATTGATTACAGCAGGAGGCTTGAGTTGTTTGAGACTGCGTGCAAGGTATTCGCTATACCTATGGAGGTCAGGCACGTACGTGTGGAGCCGCATAAGATTCTTCCCATGATTTCGAGCGACGTTGACGTCTTGGTTATACACGGTGACGAAGGATCACATGAAGAAGCATCAGAAAGAATATCGACAGTTTCTGGCTGAAATAGGGCCGGAACGCTTCAAAAGACCCTTGTTGACCCATCGTAATGCGATCACTACGGGTTGGAAGAGAGTTGGTAGGGTGTCTCGAGATAATACCAAGGCGAGGGAGTCAATATTGAAGGAAGATTTGGCGAAGAGCGTGAGCTTGAGCTTGCACAATCCCTTTTGCTTGAACAGGGAGTCCAAGGCGAAGGGTTTGCCGAACCAGGCGAAGAGAATGCAAGAGCAGAGGGAGTGGATGCGATCCTACGAATAACTATAGGCTCGGGAAGAGATCGTGATCAGCTCCGACGATGAGGAAGAGCTGCTGAGGCCGATTACAGTGTCGAATGCATCAGGGTCCAGCACCCCAAGGGCGAGGAGCACGAAGTGAGCAGGATGCTCAGTGTCGGATTCTTGAGTCTTGAGCAGGGGAAAGGAAAGGGGCTTGAGTGTGAACTCGGAAGAAATCTGAGGTCACGAAAATAAAATTTTAATGAACCAAAATATTGTTGTTAATATGCTATACCTATTATATAAATCAAAATGCTGCATGACAATTTTCTGATTGGATAGGACAAAAGAAATTTTAATCATTAGCTTGCAAAGCGGAAATTCGGGGTGCAGGTGCATGCAGATTTTGATTGCTGTTTAGCGATAATGTGACAATTTTGCATGGTGGTGAATTTTGGGGTGTAGATAAAGTAAAATCTGCTGCAAACTTCTGTAAATGACCACTGGCACTGTATCCTAAGACACATTCAACATTCTGGGGGCTCAGTGGCAGATGACGACACGCGATGAGGACATCGATCATGAGAACGGGGAGTATGTGCCAGTCAGTCATATTTGGAAGTTTGACCTTGAGCAACGCAAAATACTTGATTTTGGGTTGAAATGGAATTTTTCAGAAATTCGAATTGAGCATGTCATGCTCAAGCTTCTTGCGACAACTGATAATATCAGAAAATAAGATGAGAAGAACCGAACTACAGGAGCGAGAAAGTAGTTGAAAAGCAGTGGAAAATTGCTGTTCGCAAATTCCAGACATAAGATTGTACGAGAGTAGAGCTGTCTTCTTCTTGACAGAAGGCAGAGTGATCGCAAGTAGAGAAGAAAACAAATAAGAAGTGGACCAGAGTGAGCCTTCGGTGGAAAGTTGGACAACTGAAGTTGCCCAATGGTCCAGCCCCAAAAACTTCTTCAAGTCAAAACTTATTCATTTAAGACTCCTCGAGTCAGACTTGATTACCCCATTTATTGTCAAGTTTCTTATTAATTTATGTAAAATTCGACCGGAAGTACATATCTACGGAAAATAAAGCTAGGTTCTAAAACGACTGGCTAGCGTCAAAACACTGCAACAAGTCACTGCAACTATTGTTGCTCTGTTTTTCTTCCGATTTCTCCCAAAATGGCCGTTTCAGCCTTTCTCAGAAATGTGACGCCACAATTCGAAAGTTTCAAAATTAACATGTCAGTTAACACCAACCCTTCCCGATTTGTCTAATTGTTCAAATAACGTCACTAATCTGTTAAAACCATCAATCTTCCAGGTTAGCTGATCTTTTTCTGCTCCATAAAAATTCGAATGCGAAACTGCATTTTCGTACATTCTGGTCGAATGTCACATAAGTTACTCAATTCTAGAGAGTGTGCCGGTATGTGAGTACCCAATTTAAATTTCTTGGGTGTGTCTCATATTGTTATGTTGAGGTAAGGAGAGTTTTAGGTTGATCCATCTGAAATGGATCAAAGGTCCACTGTCTAATAAATCAACTATACGTAAGGTTCCGACCCTGTTTTTAACGGCATTCGCGTGTCTTAGGTATTTTGAGACCTAAGTATGGGGACTTTCTATTTTTCTAGAGTGGGGTGGGGGAGGGGTATTTTGGTTCAGGCTTTTAAGCTGTAACAAAGTTTTTAGTCTCATGTCGCAAGTGAACCGAATTGGCTCCGACCGCTTGAGGTAGAAAAACACAAGAGATAGTGTCCCTGACTCTTGAGCCAATGGTTATCGGGCCTATTTTTCTTCAACCTCATATGTGACTTAAGTAGGCGAATGTTACACCAATTCACGCTATAAAATAACTTGAAAATGTCAAAGTTTCAGTTTTTAAGCTTCGAATTCAACTTGTGAACATTTGTTTTTCTGCCCAACAACTTGCTCAAAAAACCAAAACTTTTGCAAATTGATTTCAGTCTCATCTCCCTATATTTAGTAGGATTCTTATTCAAAAGTAACATTCGCCCAAATACTACACAGCGACGGAGCGTAGCAAAAGTACCTATTAACGACTGGCAGGCATCAAATACCTTAATCCTACTCGTTTTTTACCGTCTCGACCTTGCCAGTTGATTTTCTGGTCTGTTTTAGGGCTAAGTAAAAAGTTACTATTTTTAGGTCATCAGTCAAACGACTTTTGATCAGCTTTCGTTTACATGCGAACACAACCACATAGCTGAGTCTCGGATCCTCAGACGACGTGATTGCTCTTAAAAACACGGCTCGAATATCCTATTTTAATATGTTTTTGTGTGACAGTTCTATATTAAATCCATTGGAGATGAATTGACCCTTTCCTCTTTCTAGCTACTCATTTTCTAAAATATCAAACAATACCGGTGTTAATTCAAAGTTCTATGGCATCAGAGTAGCTAAAAAATTAGTTTTATGCAGTCCTTCAACATACAAGTCTCTGGGGGACCAAGCCTCCGCTCCCGTAATCTTCTCTAGATAACGTTCTTATCTCTCCCAATTTGTGGCACGGGAGTGTTCCGCGGAATATTCCTTCCCCACTGAAGCTTCCTTTTCCACTGATTTCCACTGCTAAGGATCTTATCGTGTGTTATTGCCACGATTAGAGGCTCCGTTTTTCTCGTGTTCCCGTACGACCCTTTTTCACTATATCTGTCGTTGTTCTGTTTTTCCGTTCCTTTTCGTCAAAATGGCCGTCTTTTTGTATTTCTCAGAAATATTCACTCTTCGATCGAAATTTTAAAAATAAAAATTCTAGAATATTCCTACCCTCCCTCGCAGCACTTTTTCGTTACTAAGGCCTTTAGTCGTCTTTTGCTGTCCCGCCGGAAGGTTGCGCTGTGCCAATCTGACAGAATGGCACAAAAAGGTTGCAAATGATTGATCTGTTTGCTTATTTTTTTTAGCGTATTGGTGCACTCATTCTATAATTGTTATATCGCAAGTAGTGCCACTGTCGAAGCTTTGTAGAAGCTTTGCCTCTGTGTGCTATGTTTGTGTTGAAACGCAGCTTGTGAAGCTCACCTTCTTCTTTGTGTCCTATTTTTGACGTGGAGACAATATTTATCATTTGGTTGCTTTTTAGATCTTGAGTTTCTTGTTACAAGTTAAATTGATCTCGCGATTCGTCATGCCTGTGAGTACAGTACAATTTTTAAGTACAATTTTTCTCACAAATTCAGATCTTTTTACCAAAAGAAAAATCTCAACATTTAGCGGAAGTCACGCTCAAGATCTGTGTCCCGTTCAAGAAGCCGAAGCAGAGATAGAAGGTTAGTATCTGAGTCAGCTTTTTAAGAAAAAATTGAATTACTTTATCAAAGATTAATAATTAAGTGTACGTACATTGCTCAAACAAAAAATAATAATCTCATAATATCTAGCATAAAAATGAATAATAAACATCAATTTGCTGTATGGAGTCTAGTTTCGTGGTACGAGAATGTTAAGATATATCATAAAAGCAGTTTTCAACCTTCGTAAAATGTATTCTAAGAATTACGCTGCAATTAGTGAGAGATTTTAAACGTGTGAAGGCTATGACGTGTGGTTAATGAACAGGATTTTAAAAAGAACCGATATGAACTAAATTGAATTTATTGTGTACTACGGTTCGCTGCATTGTCAAAATTTTTAAATAACTATTTTTTAGAAATTGCAACGTTTAGCCCTGAAGAATAGTTGAGGTTCTTGTTTTTGTTTCAGGGACCGATCTCCTAGCCCAGACAGACGACGACGAAGAAGTAGAAGCAGGTCAAGGTCCCATGGTCGAAGATCCGAAAGAGTAAGTGCTTTTTCAAATGTTTTTTTTTTCAAAGTAAAACCTACGCGTGTGGGTATATTTAGCTCGGTTATTTTCTCTATATATGTATTGATCATGTTTATTCGGAATTGGGAGGGTGTTTTGAAATTTAATCGATGAAAGATTTGTAGGTTTGTAAATATCGGGCATTCACTTGAGTTAAAACAGGTTCAGATATAAAATTAAGTGCTGGTTAACTTTAAGTCCAACTGGACAAAAAATATAAAGGCTATTTGAAAGGAATGAGAAAAGGAATTACTTGCTATCTAATTCTATTGCTTTTTTAGCATCATTTCAGATAATATCGCACCTTTCATGCGAATGGTTGTTATAATGATTCCACTAACACAAAAAAAATATTCGGAAAACATATTTGAAAAAAATATATATTCGGAAAACATATTTGAAAAAAAAACGCCAAAAAATTGAAACATATAGCGCTAAAAATAGTTTACTCGCGTAATTACGAAAAAAGAGTTAAAGTGGAGTAATAAAATTGGCTGAGCTTTTTGTACTTGTGGAAAATCTACTGAGTGCAGCCTTTCTAGCAGTTGAAATGCTGCTTCGATATTTTTATCTATTATTTAATTGGCGTTTCACGTGACACATGTTTAAGAAGTCCCTATGTTGACGTGTTTAAGAAATCCATATTTTTGCATGTTTAAGTTTTTTCAACATAATATTTTTTTGCATATTTAACGAAAATATTTTTGCACGTTTAAGCTATACCGTAAGAAATGCTTAAGAAATTTCATTTGGCTGATGTTTAAGTCTGTTGGTCTGTTAAAAGGCCGAAAAATTGCAAGTTTTGAAAATTTTATATATACATACGTTCTATACATTCCTATTTAGTGTGCTGTTAAGTACATTTAGGGGTTGCAAATCTGGCGTTCAAGTATGACTGCTCAAATCCTTTTATTGTTCGAGATATGGCGCTTTTATGATTTTTTATTTTTAAAAAACCTAGAAAGAAAAAACCCAACCGAACTTGAATTTTGAACCCTATAGTGGGGTGATATCAGGGTACAGTCAGGGGTTGCAAATCTGGTGTCCAAGTATGCCTGCTCAAATTCTTTTGGTTTTCGAGAAATGGCGTTTTTTATGATTTTTTCATGTTTTTTTTTTTTCATAAAAATTAGATATAAAAACTGACCGAGCTTGATTTTCTCAATCTTATAGTGGGTTGCTGTCAGGGTACATTCAGGCGTTGCAAATCTGGAGTCTAAGTATGACTGCTCAATTTTTTTTGGTTTTCGAGATATGGCGTTTTTTATGATTTTTTCATGTTTTTTTTTTTCAAAAAAATTAGATATAAAAACTGACCGATCTTGATTTTCTCAACCTTAAAGTGGGTTGCTGTCGGAGTACATTCAGGCGTTGCAAATCTGGAGTCCAAGTATGACTGCTCAAATCCTTTTATTTTTCTAGAATTTTGGTTTGCCCGTTTTCTGAAGACTTGGTTTTGTAGCACCGGAGGTGCGATTGACGCGCTAGTTTAGGTTTAAATTATTGTATAAGGGATTAAGAGGTAACCATTGTTACAGAGTGGTATTCAACCTTCGAAATGTCTGGGAATATTCGGACTAAACGAACGAACAACTGAAAGAGACATCGACAGGATTTTTGGCGACTATACTGGTTACAAGAACTGCAAACTGATCAAAGACTACATGTCCGAAAGGAACAGAGGCTTCGGTTTTATGAATTTTGAGACCGTTGACGATGCCAGCTATGTAAGTTGACCTGATTATCATTGTTTATTGTCAATTTAAGGTTTTTTTATCTTTAATGCCAAAATCGATATGCTTTTCCTATGAAATACTAACGTGGCATTCTCGTTTTTTTTTTGAAATTCATTTTAAGTTAGTATTTTTCCAGCATATGGCTCAGATGTAGAATCTGTGTACAGTTTTATTTAGAATATTAAACGTAGCCGAAACTTTTTTATAGGTCTTGCTGATTTTTTTTTTCAGTAAAATTCTTAAAGTTTGTTCACACTCAATTTTAATTTTTAGCGGTTTGACTCGTGATTTTTTTTGAAGTTGTCTTCCATTGTTAAAAGGAAGGCAAACTTAACTATTGAACAGCAAAAGTTTAAAGGTCACTAAAAACGTGATCGACTTCTAATTTCGAAAATGGAAATTAATTTTCAGATTTCCCAGCGAAATTAAAGTTTTACCCATTGATCCAATCCAGTTTTCTCAAATTGGATTAATTTTAATTGAAAAAAGTCCATCATGAATTGTTCTACAAATTCAAACAGCTTTAAGGCCATCTATTATTTCTTCGAAATTCTAAATTTCAAGGTTTTTGAAAAAAAACAAGTTAGTTTTTTTTTCAGTTTCTTGCGTTCATCACTCTTTTCCAACTGTCAGCTGGCTAGGTATAATTTTCACAAACTTTCTGATAGTTGCATCCAAGTTAACATGATTAATTTTTAGGTCCGAGACAGATGCAACGGCAAGGATATCCAAGGGAGAATTGTGCGGATCGAGTTCTCGTTGTCCCAACGGGCCACTACACCCACACCTGGGATGTATTTTGGTGTGCGAGCGAGGTACAGTAGTAGCGTTTCAGTGAAATATCTCTATGGGCCTCCTCTTTTAAATGTCGATCTCTTTTTTGTGTCATCTGTCAGTTGTGATTGAAGGTCGCAGGATATTTAATATTGGTGACCAGTCAAAAATCAGCAACAAAATCAGTCCAGTACAAATAGTCACACGCTAGTCAATGACCAACCTGATAACAGATCCAGTCTGCTAAAATTGGGCCGTCCATTTCGCAAATCCAAATCAGTCCTAACTGCATTGTGTTCAAAACCAGTACTCAGTTTCAAAACTCAGTCTCAGAACACGCAGATCAACCAACCCTTTGAACTTGTGCCAGGTTGCCAAACAGGTCACATGGTGGAAACAAAAACATTGGCATGGCTGACCATAATTGGTCTCGGAGTCTAAATCAGTTTTATCAGTTAATGTTCGTTGGGCAACCATCTAAGGAAACACCATAACAGTGCAGTTCTCAGAATTCATCTCTAAAATAGCAATTAAATCACTGTCAGCAGGCAAGTTAAAAGACGGCAATTTTAATCTATAAGCAATTTTAATTTATTAGATTGAATATCTTTCATTTTTACAAAACGTCTCGAACCTTGTCAAAAAAAGTAAAATTATCTTGGTTATAGACGGAAACTGTGAAAATATACCCAATTTTGGTATGTAACTTTTATAGTATAACATAATGCATAGAAAGGATGAGCGCAATTCTTTGGTATGCATGAACAAATTAATTAAAATATATTTCGTTATTCAAAATGGATTGAGTTGTGTTTGTATCTTTTTCAGGGATGAACGTGGGGAGGATGCGCGTCCGTACCGTGAGAGAGATCGAAGAGGCGGTGGTGGGGGAGGGGGAGGAAGTGGAAGGAGAGACTACAGATCTCGATCCAGATCCCGGTCGCCCTACAATGGCAGTTAGTACAAATGATAGCTTTACGCGTCTTAGCCTTCATATATGATAATTTTTAGCCCCTTCATCAGAAGCTAGTCTTGAGTCGATTCAAAACTTACGATTCTCTACGAATTAAAAACTTGTGATAGACAAAATGATAGCGCTGGAAAATAAAAAGACCATTATTGAGAGGAACTTTTTTTAAGATAAGTATATAACAAGAGATTGTCAGGTCGTAATGCTTAGTCATAACCAACTTTCAAGCATTGATATGCGCATTGAAGCGTTGCATTTTGTGTCACTTGATAATCTTAAGATTACAAAAGATTTCTTGACAGTGGGAAGGGCGAGTTTTAAATTGCATAACTAAAACAAAAGTGTCCTTAATCTCTCGAGTATTCAGTTTTAGTGTCTTCGCAATAACTTTCTGCAATTTTTGTCACAAACCGTGACTTCATATCAGAATTATCAATTGTTCCATTTTTTATGTTTTGTTTCAGGAAGACGATGAACCAAAATCGTACCCCTGCGACAAGCTCCTGGACCGAAATCAACTGATGAAACAAACTTTACGCTGTACTCTTGTGTGCTGCTTAACCATTACATGTTCATTTAGTGTTACCAAATACTAATTGGTTGAATAGTTTTAAATGAGTTACTATCGCAGTTTAACTTAATTACTCGACATGTTATGTTTTGTTGTTCCGATTTGTGTATGAGTTGTTTATTATCTTACCGATATTTTTGTAATTTACTTGATTGGCATCTTTTAATTGTATCTATCTGCGAAATTTAATCAATAGCTGTGATATGTTTTTAACTTTAACAATGGTCGACATGTTTTTCCGAAGCAGTATGGCAGAAGCGAACGAAGTTAAACATGACGAAGGCATAACGATGGAGAGTGGGAATACAGAATCAACTGACGTGCAATCTTCGCCATCTCAGCAAACTGACCAAGTGAGTCCTTATGATGCTGAAACTGCAGAGAATTTGCATCACGTTGAAAATACTCTAAGATCATCAAATCAGCGCGGCTTGTCATTCATTTACTAGAAAAATAATTTCTGGACTATCAGAGTTATTGGACTATTTTGGAAAAAATATATAGTAATAAGCTTCGATCACTTCAAACCTACTGGAAAAATTCCAAATTCAAATTAGCCATACAACTTTGAAAGGAACTTGCTCTGGCTTAATTACCCGCTTAATTTTTTCAGGTTATGTCTAAAATTTTCAGGTTATGTGTCTCTTTCTGCGTTCAGTTTCAGTGTGTGCAGCTCGATTTGAATGAAGCGATAGCATACAAGTGTTTTATCCGCTTTATTGATGTTTATTTTTATGTTAGATGTTGACTCGTGAAAGATGTTTGAAGGCGTGTGAAAATTTTATCATATTAAGGTAATTGGGGCTGAGTAGTCATATGTACTATCGAAGTGTTTGTCTATCGCGCATAAGAGAACCGGTTCCATTCCCGAACTGGAATATTTGAGCGTATAACAGAATCTTGAAATCATTTTCTGCCAACAGGCATATTTGACTAACAGAAATATTTAAGCATGTCTGCGTGCTAACGTTCGTTCTGTTTACACTGCGGTCAGAGTAGTGTATTACTACGAATCTTCTTTTTTTTCAAACCGTACTCGCAAAAAAAAGTGTTCATTGAAAGTGGAAAGTGTTCACTTATTTGGTAGCACTTGGTATAATGACGATCTAGTATTGGAAATTTAATACCATCTATTCTGTTTTATTTGTGGCTAATGTTTGTGATGTATTAAGCGTGCGTGGCCGAGTGGTTAGTGCGTAAGATTAGTAATATTTAGTTCGCAGATCGAATTCGAGACCTAGACGAAATTTTACTAATTCGTTTCTTATTTCTAGTTTTTCTTTATTGTATTTAATAGAGCTGTTTTTGTTGTGTTCTCGCTAGTCTTTGCGAAGCGAAGCTTCATTCTGCCTGTGAGTTTATGTTTCATTGTTCAATCATTTCCATTGCTTTTTTGCGCTAACATTGTTTTACTCGACGCAAATGGTTTCGGCTACTCTAGTTTTGACTTTGTCGTCGCCTGATATTATACTAAATTTTATTTTATTAAACCAGTTTTTAAACTTGCGATCAGCTTAGTATGTTTTTACCAACACTCTTTTTTTCTATCCTGACTCGCAAATGAAAGTGTTCATTAAAATTAATCACTTATTTCGAAATTTCAATGTAGCATTGGAAATTGCATAGCATCTGTTCTGTTTAATTTGTGGCTAGTGTTTGGTATCTATTAAGCCTCAATGGCCGAGTGGTTAGTACCTGAGTCTAATAATCGCTAGGTCGCAGGTTTGAGTTACCGAGGTTGCCGAGTTTTTCAAGTAATTCGTGGATTATTTCTATTTTTCATTACTCCTCTGTATAGAGCTGCTTTTTGTCGTGTTCTCGCTAGTGTTTGCGAAGCGAAGCTTTGTCTCTGTGTTCGGAGATTCTCAAACAGTTGCTCGGGGCCAACAATCTAAACCTGATTGAATTTAAAATAGAGGGACTTTAAAGTTCGTCATTGAGAGTTCTACCGAAGTATACGTGGGGTACGGGGGTGAAACTTGTGATAACTTGCAACAAAAATCTTTTTAAACAATAAATCAAATTTTTAATTTTAAGTTAATTATGTATTGTTTTTGTTTTGATTATATCACCTTAATTTGATGTTTATAAGGATATGTAGTGGCTTAAATTTAGGGCCTTTGTTGTGTTGATGCTCCTAGGTAGGCTGTATTTATTGGACTTCATTGAATTAGCTCTATGAATTTATACGATGTGATTGAATTTTGTAATGCCCACTGGAATATAAGTAAATAATTATTTTAAATTGTTTGAAGGTTGATAACTGTTTTTCCTTAATATTTTGCAAGGGGGAGCGTATGCGAAGCTTGATATATTGAGTTCTGTTGTTTTAGTAACTCATAAACTTTTATGACGAAGATTTTTAAAGTTAAACTGGCGTCTACCCAAGAATTGTCGGCTTTGCCGTAGTTACTGGTTCATGCATTTTGTTTCAATGCTAACCATCTGCTGGAAATTGTGTTTCGAGATGTTTTTCTCTTTGAGGCAAACGTAAAAAAAGTTTTTGTACACATAGGTACCAATTGTTTTCTGTTTTTTTTCCTCCGTGGCTTTCATCAAATTTTTTGTCGGTTAGCTTGCCATTCGTGATGTATAGCAAATGATGCGAAGGTCCTTAATGTGTAATTGGTAGTAGTCATTAATGGTTTTTAACTCAATTGCCCAGCATGTTCTTCAGCCTATTCTCTTGGCGTCGAAAACTTGCCGCACATAGGCGCGGATCATGGAAACATTGAAAATACTTTTTGTTCCGAACATTCGAAGAATAGAAAGGAATTTTGGATTCGACCGGTTTTTTCCCAGCCAAGTTAAATAACCCTCGTAGGGGGTCAATTAAGGTATCATATTTAGACCTGTTTAGCCATGATTCGGATTCTAAAAAGAAAATTTGAAAAAAATCTCTGAGAAATTTAGTTTCAAAATTTTTCCTTTTCTGACTCAATGAGATAGTTTGAATTTCTGAATAGAATCTGAACTACTAACTAAATTTACGTTCATCGAATTAGCCTTTGTTGTTGAGTTTTCCTAAAATGTGATTGTTTGCGAAAAATTTTTCAAAAGATTCTTCACCTTGTTTTTATAAATCTTTCGTTTGCGTGCGTTGAGTGTCGCATAAATTTGTTAAATTTTGGTTACGCTCAATTTTGATTTAGCGCGATTTTACGTATGATTTCTTAAAGCTCAATTCATTTCCTTTGTTAAAAGGAAGTTAAACTCGGTTATTGAACAGCAAAATGGTAAAGTTTACGAAAAAAAACTGATCATTTGCTAGTTTCAAAATGGACTTAAAAAGTTTCTGAATTCCCACCGGAATAAAAAGTTTTCATGATAATCCAGTTTTCTCTAAGTGAGATAATTCTAAGAAGAAGAAATCAACCATAAACTTTTCTTGAAACTCAAGGCGATTTGAAGTTATTATTATTTTTTCCCGTATACAACTTTGTCCAGAGACTCATTACACTCCTGGTGGTACCTTCCTTGGTTCATAATGAATTCAAATTTTTTAGTGTTTCTTGCAAACTTAGCCTGTTGTTAACGCATACGCCTAGGACGGCAAAGGTCCTGGATTCGAATCTGACCAGGACCCGTTTTTTTTTCAAATGTTCAATGTTCCGTTTCAAAAAAATTCGGCCTATCATTTGTCTGCTTATGTTTTGTCGGCTTAGTTGCCTTATCTAACAATCGTTTATTTTAGCTATAAACATTATTCATTGCAGTCATTTTGAGCATTTTAAATATCTGGTCGAATCGAAATTTGCTTTTCCCATTGGTTGTTATTTTAACAGCTCGATTTGTTGATATTTCTCTTTTTTTTCTTCATTTTTCCCGTCTTTTTTATCAGATTAATAAATGTCGGCCTAATTAATATCAATTTAGTGACGTTTTATTGCGTCGTTACGTCCGAAAAAAGTTTTTCTGCGTCTGTGTGTGCTCTGAGGGGAAAATTTTGTAAGTTTAGATTTTTTTTAAATTTCTTTTCGACATGCAGGGTTTCTGCTCAGGTATATTCAGCTTTTTTTACCGCTTGGTAATTATTAATTGAAATCCAATCAAACATCCGGCGCATTTGGCGTAGACATAAAACAGCTGCTTGAGACAGCAAAGGTTTGCGTTTTAAATCCAGCTGGGTCTTTTTTTGCAAACTAGAGTTTTTGTGCTTTTTTCGGACTATCGTCCGTCTTTTTACATTTGTCGTCATAGTTGCCGTAGCTCGATGGTTTAGCTTTATTTACACTTGCAAAGCAATGTGTTATATTACGAACTTTCTTTTTTAGTCGTTGCGACTTATAGCAACTATCGTCGCAATTATCGTTGCTACTTATAGCAATAATATTTGCTGCATCGAATTGGCAATTTATTATCATATGTAGCTGCATTATGGTGGCTGGTTTTTGGGGACTTAGGCATCCGTGGCTGAATGGTTAGTGCGTGAGACTCAAATTTGGTAGTTCGCAGATTTTTGCTAATTCGAATTTTTGCGAAGCATCGAGTTTTTGCTAATTCGAGGCATATTTCTACTTTTTTCTTATGTTACTTGATAGAGCTGGTTTTTGGTCGTGTTCTCGCAAGTGTTTGCGAAGCGCAGCTTCGCCTCTGTGTCCAAGTTGCTGTAATACCCATGCTTGAGACGACAAAGCCCGGGAGTTTGGTTGCAGTTGAGACCTGTTTTTTTGCAAATAGTTTTTTGGCTAATTTAGGTTGTCTGTCTGCTTATTTTTGTCTGTTTAGTTCCGCAGAAAGGACTTTTGTTTAAAAACTTGGATTTTTTATAGCATTCCCAAAGTTCTTTGTAGAGTTTCTAATGGTACAGGCATTTTTGTTCCGGATGTTTTGGATTTTTTCTGCAATTTTTATTGACCAAATTGATTTTTTGATTTTTTTCGTTTGATTTTCATAGTCATTCATATTTGTATTGCAAGTGTTGCGAAGCTCAGCTTCGCCTCTGCGTAAAAATTTTCAACTTGCTTTACTTTTGACCCTTACAGTTTCCCCTCCTATTTTTGCAGAAGAGTAACGTGGTTGCCTTTGCACCCTAAAGTCTAGGATTCGAGTCCCGATCAAACCTTGTTTTTTCAATATAAACGCAATTGAAAAAAATTGTCCGGTAAAAATTGAATTGTCCGGCTTGCTTTGTCTGCTCTATATTTGTCGGCTTAGTTTCCACCTCACGGATGTTGTTTACGCTGTTAGAAAATTTCATTGTAGTTGCAATTGCAAGTGTAGTCCACTGTAGTTCCCGGAGGTACTAAACTTTAAAGTATTTTTTGTCTCAACTTGTGTCTTCTCAGATTGTCGGCTTTGTTCCCTCTCCGTAACGTAAGTTTTGTGCCGTTGCTAATTTAATATTCAAATGTCTGACATGTTTTCCTAGAATTAAGTTTTTTCGAGATGACTACGTTTTTTATGTTTTGTTGTTTCGCAGGTGGCTCAAAGCTCCGCTTCGCCTCTGTGTATAATTTCTTCTTCCGAATTTTGACAGCTGAGAAATGTTCAAATATTTTTAATCAAGTTTTTTATTCAGTTTTCTTGTTCTTACACACTTTTCCAACTATCTGTTGGCTATGGTTTTTCTTTTGAACATCTGGCATTAGTTTTATTCATGGTGATTGATGCGAAGCTTTGTTTGGCCTTAGGAATTTAAATTTTGTGCAGTTTTGGTTCTGCCTTAGATTTCAACACCTTGTAATCTCACTGAGCCTAAACCAGCAATGACAGAAAATGGCGCTATAGAAAACGAAGTAGTGGACTCTAGCGCAGAAGTCAAACCTTCTCCTAAGCGGTCTTCAAAGAAGCACGCAACTGATCTTCAAAACGGAGAAACACCGGCATTTGGTGAGAAAAGTTTCATATTAAAAATATGACAAAAAAATACTTTACTTTCAGAATAGCGAGATTTAAAAATGAATTTTGTTTGACAAAACAGTCTTCAGAAGTAAGTTATTTTTGATCGAATTTTTCACAGGGAAAGTTGAATGAGTGGCTCGAATTGTTATACGGTTTGGTTTTCAGCTACCTCTTCTGCCAGTGAAAAACTGGACAAAGGAGCACGTAAGATATCGACAATGGAAGCAATACTAACGAATTGAATTAACAAAGAATTAATAGACTTATTGCAGAAAGTGGTTTACTAATCAAGAATTACAATTGAACGGATACTTCAATCTATTCCTTCCTTCTTGTTGTCTTGTGTTGAATTGGTATGGATATCAACATCCCTGAGAATAAATCCTAATATTGAAAAAGTTTCTAGCAGATTACTAAAATGTTAAGAATATTCCGAGATTCGCGTGTTGATCAAATTTGTTAATCTGAAATTGAATATAAAACATCTGTGTCGAATTAAATGTTGTTTAAGGACGCAATATAGAAGCAGCTACGAAGTCAATGTTGAAAGCTTTAAGTCAGCTCGAATCTCCAGAAGAGAAGATAGCAGCTTTATGCTCACGCTATGCAGACTTACTTAGCGAACACAAACAACTTCAGAACTATCTCAAGGACACCACAAAGTCACAACAACAGGTGAACAATCAGGAAAAAAATCTAATTTACAATACCATTTCCTACCTTGAAAGCTGCGGCTTTCGTTCCATTTGATCTCGGCTAACTCGCGATATTATCTTTGTTGTATCACAAATGGTGTAAACCTGCGGTTTAAATACTCCTCGGTAAAAAATTATCCAAAGTGAAACTTATAAGGAACTACTAAATGGAAACTTGAAATTGAAGTTATGCGCATTTTTCATTTTCATTTGATGTGCTGTTGTTCTGTTTTCAGGTGCAAAAGGAAAAAGATAAGCTGCAATCGGACCACAACAAAACCCTTCTTGCCAAAGAACGACTGGAAAACTTGTGTCGAGAACTGCAGAAGCAGAACAAAATAGTAAAAGTTAGTTGCTGCCGATTAATGTTTGAAGTCTTTGCATCATTTGTTTCAAAAATATAAAGTGTCGATGAAGCCAAAGGACATAAAGCCAATATTTGCATTAAAGGTGTAACTGAGTTAACGGAGAAGGGGGATAGTCTTTTCGGGAAATATTTACTCTTTTGCTATTTGAAACAATTTTTATAAATATTCTAATTAAAAATTACTTTTACTATTAAAAGTAGTTTTTGAAAAAAATAAATAGTTTAATCCTGGTTTTACCATTGAGATAAGCAAGTGTGTAGCAACCGAATACTCGGCTTTTCCCCGTAAATAACTGTTCACAAGACGACTCAAGTTCGTGGTCATCTCCAAATCTGCGTTTTCGTCAACCAACAGACAAACTTTGAGCATATCTGCGTTTTCAATGCACGTTCTATGCGAATTTTGCTTACTCTAGCGAGCTTCGGAGCGTAGTCTATTAGAACGAATCTTTTTGTTTAACTTAACTCGCAAATAAAAGTGCTCATTTGCTGGCACTTTTGCTATGATCACTATCTGTAGCGTTGAAATTTTCATAGCATTTTTCATAGCATCTGTTCTCTGCTTTGTTGGTGGCTAGAGTTTGTCGGTTGTTGAGAGTCTGTGGCTCAGTGATTAGTGCGTGAGACTTATAATCTGCAGGTCGCTGAATCGAATCTGATACTAGCCAAACTTTTTACTAATTCGAGGCTTCTTTCTAGTTTTTCTTGTTTCATTTTATAGAGCTGCTTTTTTGTCGTGTTCTCCGCTAGTGTTTGCGAAGCCCAGCTTTGCCCAAGTGTTTCAATGTTGCTTGTCAATTTACCTACTCCGATTTTAGTATCTTTTTTTCCTATTTTTTTATTTGGGTTAAAGGTTTCGACTTGGATTATATCAGTTTAGCGGTGTCATTTCGAGTCAGTTGAGGAAAAAAAGGTTATCTAAATTTTTGAGAGGTTGAGTAACGTTTTTTTGAGTTTTTAATTTTTAATGTTAAGAATTTTGGCGTCTCAATGTGTCTCCTCAGGTATTGTCTGCTTTGTTACCCCTTTTAGTTTTATTTCCATGCTTAATTTGCATTCATTTGGCTTAATCGGCTTGTTTTATTAGAGACAAAATTATGAGATAGATATGAAAATTTCGGTTGATAAGTTTTTTTCGAAATTTTTCAAAAGAATTTCCAATTGTTTTCTTTGGCTTTCATCCCTTTTCTGTCGGTAGGTTTGCCATGCTACATTTGGGTTGCATCGCTCCTGTATTTCAAATGTTACTAGAATAGGCCAGCTTCTCAGTGGGTCTTTATTAGTCCCTTTGTTCATTCTTTACTTTATCTAAACGTCATTGATAAATAACTTATTACAGTATTTTTTTTATTTCGTTGAAATCATGCTGTGTACTTGTCTAGAGAAATAAACTCTTTCTTTAAGCATTTTTATGTAATGGCAGCGACTTTGACTGACCCATCAGAAGATGTTTGTAAAGGTACCATCGATGCCAACTTGAACTAAATTTGAACGGGAAGGGTATGATACAAAAAGTGTGTTTTAACGATAAATTTCTAAAAAATGGCCTAGAAACTTTTTAAAAAAGAATTTGTCTGTAACGCAGAGGCTGCATAGTATTTTTTGATGGGCAAATTTAAAGAATTAAAAGGGATCTAGTTTTTGTAGAAGTTGTTATAAGTTAATGTACAAAGGTGGTTACATCTGAAAAGGGTGGGTTGGAAATATAAAAGATTACTCTGCCGCGAATTATCAACGGACAGGCCATTTCCGCGCATGAGTTACTGTGCTAGGTTTTATAACCTGTTTTACCCTTGCGACAAGCAAGGGTATAGCAATCGGGTACTAGACTGTTTTCCCCGTAAACTACTTTGTCCACATGATCTTCACTTCTAGAGGATCTTCACTTCTTGAGATTCTTGAAAATTCTAATAAAAGTAGTACCTTCTAGCTAGTAATTAGTTCAAGCCCGTGTCAGGTTGTAATTATCTTTTCAAAAAATCTCAGTTTGGGTTCTTCGTTTTCGTTCCTAGTTTCTGTCGGAATCTCATTTTTTTGGTTTCCTCGTTTTCGCCATTTTTTTTACCTGGTAGGGTTTTTATTTATAACTTTTTAAAAAAGCAAGGGTTTTGTTCCAATTTAAATAGTTTTTACTAAAACTGAAACTTCACAAATTTGTAAATTTACCATGTCTGATTTTAGTTTTTTTAAAAACTTTTTTCGTTTTGTTTTAAATACTCAAACAGTTTCAGCGTGTTTAATGTGTTTCTTGCATCGCAAGTAGTGCGAAGCTCTGCTTTGCAATTGTGTTAATTATTCAATCAGGTCATGTCAGTGAGCATGATATAAAGTGTCTGTTTAGGAAGAGAGTCTGAAGAGAAGTCTGGAGGAGCAGAGCAAGATCCGGGAAGTGTCAGACAGGTTCCAGAACACCATTTCCGAAGTGCAGACTTCGATGAGTGAGAACTGCGAGAAGAACGACAAGTTGAAGGAGGAGAACGAACAGCTGTGTGTCAAGATCAAGTCTCTCATACAGCAGTACGAAAAACGAGAAGAGGTAGATAAGTTCACAAAAAGCGCCATAAATTAAGCTCTTAGCAGTCATAATCAAACCATGGAAATATGAAACTCAATTTGAAAAGCTTTGCAAGCCAGAGCTTAGTTTGTCAGAATCAGATAACTGAAAAAAATTTTAATTATAGGTACGAAACTTTTTCGCGTTGCATGGAAATGACTATTTTAAAAACTTTTTTCATCATGTTTCACTTGGAAAGTCATGAAAGTTGATTGTTACTGTGGTACGAAGCTCTGGGTTACTGAGTACATTTACTGTGAAGTGGTTTTCATGTAAAAAAAAAACGGTCTTTATGTAGTATGTGGAAATGTTGACGAAAACGAAGGAGATGGAGAAACAGCTGGTTGAGGCTAAACTGAAGGAGACCACGATGATCCTCGCCGAGGAGAGGGAACATAATCTGATTGAGAGGCAGAAACTGCTGAGTGACAATGTGGAAATGAGACAGAGGTACACTCTTCAAGCCACTTTATAAGCTTCTAAAAAGTGATTTTGTTAATAGAGAATACCTGACATGCTTGCATACGGATCAAAGCTATGTAGCAAAACAATGAGCGTAGTGAAGAAATTGTATAGGTCTTGTTGATGTTTTTTTTAGGAAAAGTCTGAAAACTTTTTCTTGCTCATTTTTTGGGATTTCAATCAACTTCTGAAGAAAAAAACATATATCTGCTGATCCAATATTCTCAAATTGGTCTAGTTCTTAATTTTACTATGAAGTTCAACGAGTTTTAAAAGTGAAGTAATTTGTTCTCTGAAACTCGAAAGTTGGAAAGCTATAAGAATGTCTTCCTTTCGCTAGATGTGAGACATTAGTGGCACAGCTGGAGGCGAGTAAGACGAAAGACAAGATGTACGCGGACAAGTTTGACGAATTCGAGACCACTCTATCCAAGTCAAACGAGATGTTCACCACGTTCAAGTCCGAAATGGACAAGGTCAGTTGTTTGTTAAGAGTCCATGAACATAGTTCCAATTTTTGATCTAGCTTTTTCAAATGGGGTCAATTATCGAAAAATTAAAGGCCATATATTTTTTGCTTTGAAATTCGAAAAAATAAGTCAGATGCTACACAACATACGAACATTTGACAATCTCTCCTTACCCTTTCTTCAAATAGGGGCAAGGGTCTTGCAATAACGACCACATCAATCACAGAAAAAATTTTTGTTTCGGAAATTACAGCATTCTTTGGCAGTAAAGAAATCGGCTTCAGAAATGACATATAAGCTTGAATAAGCTAGAAAAAAAAACAGCAAAATTACATATCTACTCTGTGGTGCAAGCTTCTCTCGTGCACTTCCCGTGTAAATTAGTTTGAGAATAAAAAAATTCTGACCATTTTTTTCCCGAAGCTGTTAAATCATTCTACTGGAATCCGAGGCTTGGCTGAAAAGGTTTTAAATGAAAAGTCCTCGTGTGACGTGTAACTGTGTTACCGGGAGAGGTGGCTGGATCCACCCACCATTGTCAGTTCAACATGTGCTTGTGTCTTTAAGACGTCTAAGCGTATCAAGACGTTAGAAAAGGAGACGCAGATGTGGAAAGCCAAGTTCGACGGGGCCAACAAGTCTCTGGTGCAGCTGATGGAGGAGCGGATAGGGAAGGAGCGGGAGTTGGTGTCGAGTGGGGAGAAGACGAAGAAGCTAGAGAAGCTGTGCAGGGCTCTGCAGGAGGAGAGGAATGGACTGAGTGAGAAGAACAGACGCATGGAGAGACAGAACAAACACCGTAAGCCAAGATAATTACACTTGAGAATAGCAGGCGTCATGAAATCGGAACATAGACATTTTTAAAGCTAATTAACTTGTAAAACTAAATCACTTCGAAATACTGGACAGCATGTGCACTTCACCCACATGCTGAATCTATTGAAAATTTAATTTAAACTACCACAAAGGTCTCGGATTTGAATCCCGCAACAGTCACGGTTGGAGGGGTCCCAGTACACTGTAGACCGTAAATTGTTCTTCTCAGTCAAGTTTTTTTTTGTTAGAGTCCATGAATGTAGGATACGACTTTATATAGCTTACGACAAGTTTTTTTCGGGAAAAGTCTAAAAATGCTCTCATATTTTACAGAATTGAGTTCATGCATATTAATGCTTTTATGAATGCTTATGACAAGTCATTATAAGTCAGTATTTCGTCATTATTTCTTTGACAGGTCATTTTTTTCAAATAGCTTTTTCGTTTTACGTATAATACTTTTTGTGATAGAAATATTGCTCAGGGTCGCATATTTTTTGGAGTCATTTGGTTTTTGATGTTGAGTTAATTTGGTGTATTATGGTAAAGAATGGTATGGCATGTGGGATTGATAAATAGCATTCTTGCTGAAAAATGAATTCATTTTTCGCAGCTTTTTAGTATTTTTAAAGTCATTATGTGGTCATTTTTCTGGTTAACAGAACAGGTCAATATATGGTCTGATGAAAATGTGGTCACGCTGCTTCTAATTTCATATGCACTGTTTGAGTTCAATTCATTTCATCTGCTAAGGTTTATGCAAGTGGCGCTATATTTTACGAAAGTGTCAAGGTCACGAAAATCGTGATCGACTTCTAGTTTTGAAAGTGGAATTTAATTTTCGGATTTCCCAGCAGAATGAAAACTTTACCTATTGCTCAAGTTTTCTCAATCTGAGTTTTTTTAAATCAATAAATAGTCAGTTATGAATTTTTTGCGAAATTCAAAGAGCTGTAAAGTCATTTTCTTACACTAAGAAGTCATGTTATTTTTTTCTAAAGCCGAAGTCTTTTCAAAAAACAAGGCAGTTTTTTTCAGTTTCCTTGCTTTCATCGACTTTTTTTCCTACTGTCTGATAGCTATCTTTTTAATTGACTTTTCGTTTTCATTTATTCTTGTAATTTGTGAGTTTACTACCTGAAGTTTTGAATAATTTCGTTTATTAAGAGTATGAATGTAGTGAGGACTTTAAGATAGGTCTTGGTTTTCTTTTACCTTTTGTCAGAGAAAAGTCTTAAATTGCTTTATAACAACAGATGTGCGTTCATGCATTTTGAGTTCAATCCAATTTCATTTGCTAAAATTTTGGAAAATTGCCCTCCAAATACGAACGTGGAAATGGTGCAAAAAAAACGAGAACGATTTCGTGTCGAAATTGGATTTCAATTTTTAGAATTCCCAGTGGAAGCAAAGTTTAGCTATTGATCATGTTTTCTCAAGTTGATTTAAATTAATTAGAAAAACTGTGAATCATAAGTTGCTCTGGATCTTCGAAAGTTGGAGTTTTTTGTCAAAAAACAAGTCGTTTTTTTTTTCTATGCGTTCGTTGATTCTTTTCCATTTGTCTGTTGGCTGTTTCTCCTATTTATACTTTCTTCTTGTTATTTTTGCTACCTCGTTGAAGGGCAGCGCTTTCGTCTGAATTGTCATAGTTCTTGGAGCGGCTAAATTTAGTGAGTATGCTGGAATTTGTTGCGTAGTTTTTCAGTTGTTGCGTAGCTAAAGATTTTCAGTTTTCAGACGTTTTTATTGCTCAAGTTTTTCGAGGCTGCCCATTTATTGTCTGGCACCAGGGGCAGATTTAGGGGAGGAGACCTCGGAGATTCGACCCTCTCACCTTTGAGGTAGTCGAATCTAACTGTGTTTCAATGTTAATGTAACACTGGCTCGGCTGATTTCGTCTTATAGCTGCAATGATTCTTTAAATTATATGAAAAGTTATATAGTTGATTTTGGTCATTGAGATGATTTGCGCATTGTTTATCATTGACCTGTAGATTTAGCAACCGCTTCGGGTGGCTTACCCTTGGTTAAGTTGGCTGTTGGATAATTTACTGTTGCACTTTTGTTGGGGAAAACGGGGAGGAACTTTGGATTCGGGTGTTTTTTTCCCCGCGCAAAATCAGACACCTTAAATATTTAAACGGAAGAAATCGAGTGATATATCATATGAAAGCTCGTTCAGTTGTGATTCGAAATTTTCTGAAAGTTAACCTAATTTCGATAAAACAAGTTTGCAAATTTGAGTTTCCTTCGAATTTCGAGCGAGTAAAGCGATCTAGTAACTTTATCTGAAAATTTTAGGCTAAGAAAACTTAATTTACTAAAACGAAAAATATTTAACGCTTCATAGGTAAAAATTTAGCTTAATTTTGTACTACGTCAGCAAAAAAAAGTTTTCTGAAAATATTTTTAACATTGAAAAACAATTTTGAAAAAAAAAAGTTTTTTCAGTTTTTGTTTTCATTTTTTTTGGACAGTTGTGTCGATAATGCATCATTCACTGAATTTCTACACCTTTGTATAGTTTTCTTATCATATCGCGTACAAACAACGACTCAATTTAAAAACAAATAAAGAAAAACGTTTTTTTTTGTAGTTTTTTGTATGAATATGGTCGGAACATTTTGTGCTACTTGCACAGCAACCAGCTATCGTGGCTTTTTTTAATTTTTTTTATTTCAGTCCGAATACAATGCGGCGAACTGGTCGACACAGACGACACAGAAACTAACCAATTAATACCCGAGGACAAACAACCAAATGGCACGACTGAAGCTAACAACCAAGAAACTGCCGAGAATAACGAACAATCTCAACAACCTGATTTGACTTCAACGAGCGAAGCGGCAGAACCAGTGTCGGCATCATGAGAGTTTTACCAATTGGAGTCTGTTTGTAAGAGAAGAGATAGAGTTCAAAATTAGCAAGAGTTTGATGCCTTCAGCACATTTTTCTGTACAGCACTTGAACTTAATTATAATATACATTTTAAAATGAAACGATGTCACTCACTCTTTATGTTGTAGAGGTGTAGATTTTGTACGGAACCATTAATTCTTTTTTCGCAATTGATGTAATTCAGACTAGCAATTTAATTCTTTCTCCGATTTCTTCTATTCTGGGTAACGATAGATCAATCCGCTGTCAATAGATTACAAATCCCATAATATGTCTTGTGAGTCCAGTTGTTGTTTCCTCTGCCAGCGAGATTCAATTGAAAAATTTTATTCCAACCAATTTTTTTCGCGGACAGATTCCGTTATTGAAACAGTAATCTGTACCGTACCATCTTATAGTTTTCAATGGCTTGGGCTCTAAAGTACAGTGCTGATTTAAATTAACCGGACAAAACGCGTTTAACTTGAAATTTAAAACGCATTTTTCTCAAATTGGGTTGAGTTAAGGTGAAAACTTATGAAGACAAATCTTGCTTAAAATTTGAGCAGAATTAATATGGTAAAATTTGTTTTGCGAAATTCGGGTCCGAAATTTTACCCCAAAAATGGGTCATTTTGGCTTTTCTTAGTTAATCAAAAATTACGCCGAAAATACCCAGTCGATCAGAGACATAACTATATCAAAGTGAGCCCCTTACGTAGCCCAACAAACTTTAAGAAGGGCATAATCTCCAAAATATTGTATAAGTTAATTTATTTTTGTTTGATAGACAAAAAAGGTATTTTTTACTATATAAAATACCAACTTTTTATTTAAAAACAATTTTTAAACAATTTGCATTTTTTTTGGAGAATATACCCATCATAAAGTTTGTTGGGCTACGTAAAGGGCTCACTTTGATATAATTATGTCTGTGATCGACTGGGTATTTTCGGCGTAATTTTTGATTAACTAAGAAAAGCCAAAATAACCCATTTTTGGGGTAAAATTTCGGGCCCGAATTTCGCAAAACAAATTACACCATTTTAATTCTGCTAAAATTTTAAGCAAGTTTTGTCTTCATAAGTTTTACCTAAACTCAACCCAATTTGAGAAAAATGCGTTTTAAATTTCAAGTTTAACGCGTTTTGTCCGGTTAGTTTAAATCAGCACTTGATCTCTGAATATTTCTGAAAATTAATGTGCATTTTACACAGAGGAGCTGTTTTTTTGGACATATGTTTTTTCAGTTCTACTAAAATCTTTAAATCGAGTTCGCCGGTAGTTTTCAAGATCTTCTAGGAATTGTACTATTTAGTCAAGCCAGCTACCGGTCGTTTTGTTATTTCACGAATCAATTTTTGATATAACTAGCAAATAAAAGTGCTCATTTGGTGGCACTTGGGCTGCATTGAATTGGCAAGTAAATAACATCTGTTGTATCTGCTTTATTGACGGCTAGTGTTTAGATAGAGTTTAATCATAATTTTGTGATCAACAAATAGATTACATTTTTCCCGCATAGCAATTTACAATTGGCAATATAATGGCATGTGTTGTGTCTTCTTTTTTGATGGACAGTGTAGCTAAGAGTTATTGCGCAGTTGGTAGGACACTTGTATCTAACTTCAAGGTCGCGGGTCTGGATCCCTTAAAGGGCGATTTTTTAAAAAAAATGTTCAATTTAACTTACTTTTTACGCTTGCGATTAGCAAGAGTTATGAAATCGGAATGTAGACTTTTGTTTTCGGGTTAACAACTAGTTTAACAAGTCAGCTGAATCATTTGCTGACATGCTCATGCGTGCTGATATACTTAACTCCTGGATGCAATGTTTGTTATTGGGAATTTTTTTCAGAATTGAATTGATTTTTTTTGTCGACTTCATGGATTTCGTCCCAACTTTTGTCGGCTTACTTGCCGGATGTATTAATTTTTAATAAATTCAAACACAATGTGAGTTTTTAAGGTTTAATCAAAACAACTGTTTGTGGGAAGTGCCCCTGCATTAGCAACTCAGCCCAATTTTTTTAAACTCAAAAAAGGCCCTCGGAAAGAACAATTATTTGATGTTTTGACCATTTTTTTTTAATTCTTTTTGATTCTTCTCGAAAACTACCCTGCTTAATCTGAAGTATTTAGTTCAATCCAAAGAACGGTTAGTAGGAGAGTTCCTTGCATATTTGGCTACGACCAAATTTTTGTATACAAAAAGTTATGGCACTCGGAAAAATCAAAATTTTAGATTTTTAGACCGCTTTTTGAAGTTTTTTGTTTCTCTAGAACTACACTCCCAAATCCGAGTAATGAACGCAGTGAAGACTCTTATATAGGTCTTGCTGCTTTTTTGTTTTTTTTTCAGGAAAAGTCTTAAAAGTCTCTAATAGCTACAGATGTGCATTCATACATATTGATGCATTTATGAATGCACTTAGGTATACATGCACTTTTTGAGTTCAATTGAAGTTCATCTGCTGAAAGTGACGTAGATAGCACTCTCCAATTACGAACGTGGAAATAGCGCGAAAAAACGTGAAGGATATCTAATTTCAAAAGTGGAATTTAATTTTAAGATTTCCAGCGGAATAAAAACTTTACCTGTTGATCCAGTTTTCCAAGTTGGGTTAATATTATCAAAAAAGCGCCAGTCATAAATTGTTCTAGAGATTCTTCAGCTAGGCCCCTAGTTATCTTTTATCGAGACACGCAAATTTCGTTTTTTTTTTCTTATTTTGTGCTGTATCGCAAGTGGAGCGAAGCTCCGCTTTGCCTCTGTTTCACTTAACTTTACCTTTTCTCGATCCTGTTTGCTTTGTTTTTTGCGAAGATCTCCTGTGATATAAATTAGAATAATTTCTCTGGCTCTCTTTTTCTGTAGCTCATTCTGTTGACTTCCGTTTATTGACTTTTTTTTTACCGTTTATTGACTAAATTTTCCAGACATGTCTCTCGAGCGCGTGAAAATATTCCAAAACCTAAATAAACGTGATTCATGTTTGAAAGGGCTTTAATATGATATCTTACTTGAGATTATGCCTCACTTTCGGTTGTCGGAACATCGAAGGCCTTAGCATTAAAATATTACCTTGCGTCTTTGTAATATAAAATCTTCCGTTTATGACGGTATGTGTGTGTACCTAATATCATCTTTAATATGACCTGTTTTGCATGCATGAGCTTTAGTAGCTGTTATTCCTAGTCTATATCGGCATAAGTTGAAGCTTAGTGCATAGTGACTAATTATCTGAATCACGAGTTTGGTAGAGCGAATCCTAACGTATCCTTGCTCGTTACTTGAGACAGAGGCAAGACTTCAACTCTGGGACATTTTTTGCTTTCAAAGCTCGAATTTGTTTACTGGCAAATAAATAGTTTCGACTACTTATCAAAGCGATTATGGAGTTCAAGGTCGTTGAACTACTTTTTCGACCTACATGCTGCATGAGGGTAGTGATACTTAAGTTCTCTTTAATCTTTTTCACAAGTTGCCCTATTATTTTTCTGAATCAATCAGTTGTGAATTTGTGTATTTTTGGCTCGTCTAAATGTCTCTTGGGTAAGGCCACCCATAGGTGGTCTACAATAAACAAAGTGAGCAAGACTACGTAGGGTGTGCCGCTTCAGTGGAAATCTTGAACGGAACTTATCTTCTGTCCAATTTTATAAGTTTCTGTAATTAATATTTCAAGTCGTTTTTCCAAAACAATAGTGTTAATTTTATACATACAAGTTCATTACTTAGCAATTGTGAAATTCCTAAAACTATGAATTCGATGCAATAAAAATAAATATCCGTTCATGGTTCGTTATTATATACAGGAGTAGTCGTTTTCAGTTATATATATTTTTACCAAGATATAAATCTGAACTGTCCTAGTGTATTTTATTGTGCAACTAGGCACAAACGATTCAGTCATTATTAAAGGCAGGTGTGTGTTTGTACGTTTTATTAATTTCCTTGAAGAATCGCTTTTATTTCAAATCAACGTCACATCTGCTTACAATGCAGTTTTTTGTTTGACTTAATCCTCGTACAAATGTTGGCTAACGACATCCGCAAGCAAACCATTAGCTGACTTCTTAGCAAGTTAATGACTTCTCGTCAATAAAATATCAGTTTTTCTCTGATTAATTGCGCAACCAAGAAACCAAATCAAATATTTATAAGTTGAGGTAGCAATGTATCTTTCATAAAAATGTTGGTTTTAAGTTCAAAACTTTCTTTGAAAATTTTTCTTTCAAATTCATTGGCCTTTTGTAATTCAATATTGGTCAATAACTTGCGCTTGAGAACTTAATGTTTTCAATTTAATTATAAAGGCAAATGGAGTTTTCAATTAATTAGCCGCAAATCTGAAGTTCAATCATAGTTCATCTTTTTTGATGGCCAGAAAAACGAAATCTGATTAAAATATAATGGCACCAATTTTGTCAAAACTGTACACCTGTACTGTCTGTTAAGCTTCCTCAAAAGTATCTAAATTAGGTTTTCTCTTCAAGTTTCATTCCGAGCGCTTCTTGAATAATTGAATCTTCAATTACATTTTCTTCAATAATTTTATAGAGCACTTAGTAGCTTCAAAATTTAAAATATATTTTACTGCCTCGAGAAAAAAGCCTATTTGTTTTGACAAGTTTTGTCAAAACAACAGAATATAAAATAACCAAGTCATTGTCAAGTTATTATTTTCCTGTTTTAACAGAAATGGGTCGCGTAAAAAATGCAACTCTTCCTTACATTCTTTCGTTCATTACTCTGGGTCTCATCATTTGCCTATTCTACCAACTTTATCTAGCCATCACTAGCCAGTTTTGGAGCGCATATCCCTTCACGGAACTAGTGGTTTCTTTTGTTAGCATCAGCGTAGTGTTAAAATTCATGCCAATTTTATTCGTGAAAACGGACCTGTTCGTGCCGTTTTACAACATAGCGATGTATCCTCCAAAGAGATCAAATATTAGCAAGATGGAGTGGGCCAATGAGATGATGAGGAGGAAGAAGTATGGCAAACTGCCCTTTAGTAGCAAGTACCCCAATGGGTGGTATAGCGTGTGTAGGAGTTCTGATTTGGCAAAGGGCCAAGTGAAACCGGTCAATATTTTAGGTAAGTCAACAGCACACAGAAAAACACTGCAGTTTTAACTTAGTGATGTTACACATGAAGTGAATCAAGAATAAAGACTCTTCTGCAAAGGCTTTCTGTTTTGAATCTCCTTTAAGTTTGAATTACGAATAAAGTTTTTTGCTCATCGAGAGCGTGATGTCAATTACCATCGATATAATTACGTTTATTTCTCAAATGACAAAATACCTAAATGGCATAAAAATAATTTTTGTTCGGCAAACATTTAAAGTTTCCACTAAAACTCGAACGATTTCTATTAAAGATTATTTATCCTTTTTACACATGAGATCGAAAACATGAATGATTAGGAATTGATTGCTTCCAAACAATTCTTGAGTGGAAATTGTGCTGGCTGGAATAACAGCAAGCTTAAGCTTATGATAAAAGTTCTAAAAACTGATTTTAATTTGTAAAACAATCAACTATTTAATTCCCAGCTTTGCTATTTTTTGCACCTTGTTCACAAATCAGGCTCTCTCGAAAAAAATTATTCGCAACTGTTGCATGGATCTTATGAATTTGGGAACTTTTGCATTTTAATGCCAATTGGGAATTATGCCGTTTGAGACGTAATCAAAAATACCAAAAAATGCCTCCAACAAATTGCTTGTTGTTCCGACCATTTGAAAAATGTAGAGGAACTTTGTATTCGGGTGTTTTTTAAAGTTTTTTCCAATGAAAATCAGGTACCACAAAAGTTTGAAAAACAATTTCTTAGTGTCGAGAAAAACCAGTTTGATATTTTTGATTTTTGCTCTAATTTCAAGCTAATTAGGTGAGCGTGCAGGCTTGAAAAAAATTTCTCAGTTTCGAGAAAAACCAGCTTGATATTTTTGATTTTGCTCCAATTTCAAGCTAATAAAGTGAGCGTGCAGGTTTACAATAGCCTATTTTTTTTTTACTTTAATCCATGAAAACTTAGTTTTATTTGAGTAAAACTAGTTTTAGGAGTTTTTAGCGCCAATTTGGGAATCAAAAACTTTCTCGTCATTTTTCTACATGATTGTCAAATATGCCTAATTGCTTTTTTTACGTTCGAATCCTTTTTCACTAATTTGAAAAAAGAAATGTTTTTTTTTAAGACAATAGTCGGAATAAGGGTAGCCGGTCAGCAACCGGCTATCTTTGTTATTTGATTGTTTTGCAATTTCGTGAGCTACCATTATTCGGGCACATTTTTACGCCAATCGATTACTTATTGTTGATGATGAACATCAGTTTTTCTAGACCCGGATGTCGGTTTGTCTTAAAAAGCTACACTAGTGGACAAATTTAACCAAAAATTTGGGTTTTTACTATCTAGAAAGTCTTATTTATAAACAGGTGTCGACAGTTTGTTATTAGAATCTATGCAAAATTATATCACCCGAGAACAAATTATCTGAGCTACCGTCTATAAGTTTTCAAATTATGATTTCAGGGCTTCTAAATTTTTGCTGAAAGTCTTAATTAAGTAAATGTTGTCCAAAATGGTTCTTGAAAGTAGGCAATAGGGAATATGTGGTTAATCTGACTCTGAGTTTAATTTGATCAGCTAGCCTGTTTAATGATGTTTTATAGTCGAGTTAGGCTCATTTGCCTTCTGTTAGCGGATAATTAGTTTGAGCCCAAAAAAGAAACCATTTGTGTATTGCTCGATTTAAGATTATTTTCTAGTTTATGCGGAGATTTTTTTATAGCAAAACGTTCAAAGGAAATGTTCTTCGAAAAATATTCAAAACTTGTCATCATTTTGGTAGAGGCCTGGAATCTTCGTTTTTATACAAGCAAAGCTTGTGTTATAGTATGAACTCTCTTTGTTTCCAACCTAAGTCGGAAATATTGTTGCGAAGCAAATATTGTTGCGACAAAATGTGTTCATTTTGAAAGTGCTCATTTTGATCATTAACCAGCCATCAAGTACAGCCAATGCTAAGGATATTAACACAGACTTTTATATTACAGATAGCTCTTTAGCCTAGAGGATCTGTAGCGTAGAGGTAGGGAAGGAGATCCGCAACAAAATATGAGGGTTCGAACCTGGGCAGGTTCGGATGTTTTTAATGAACTTTTTCGTATACTAGCTAAAATGCTTCCGCTCTATAAATTGAGGCATGTTAGTTGGTAAATTTTTTTTTCTATTTGACTGGTACTGCTAATGCGTCGTAATTGGCTTGCGTCTTTTAGCAGTTATGTGGACTCATAATTGGCGTGTGTCACATAAGAAATTTTGTAGACTCAAAGTTTTGTAACCATTCAGTTTTTCCCAGTAGCGTTATCGGTCATATTGTTGCTTGACTATGCAAAGTGCAACTTCGCCTCTGTGTATCCATCTGCAAATGGTTTCCATATCACATTGCAATTTTTTGAATTACCTTCTAGCAATAATTTTTTTTGCTGATTCGGTCATATGGGTATTTTAGAGAAAATTTAATTGTTTACTTGCGCTTATTTTATGGTGATGTAGTTCTAATTATATGCGCTGTTGGCGGTTTCAACTTTTTAACGGTTAAGAAAGTAGATGCTCTATCGGACAAAAAAGCGCAGTGTTATGGTTTTTCTTCTGCAATATTCCTGTTTTCACAAAAGATTTTGGACTATCTTTTTGAAACTCAATATAGTTTGAGAGCAAATTGATTAGAGCTACTTTTATTGAAATTATCGAGATTTAGTTCCAAAGATTTAACATTTGTTCCGGGTCTAAGAATGGCCATTTTCACTATCTAGTCCAGGTTTTCCATCGGAGTGAATTCTTTGTTTGAATAAGCGGAGTAAAAAAATTGTTCATATGGCGAGGAAACTGTCTCATTGAGAAAATGTTGATCAATGTGACAATTTTACTTAACTTGGCTGTTTCTTTACTTTTTCTTTACCCTTGAAAACTTTACTAAGATAGGTTGTTTCTTTATCCTTTGTTCATAGGACTCATCTGGACTCATCTCTAGTAGTACCTTGCTCCATAAATAATTCAAATATCTTCGTTTTCCCGTCTCAGTTAGCCTGGAGTTAACTAATACGCCTGGGTTGGCAAAGTTCTTGGGATTTAATCTAACCAGGGCCTGTTTTTTTCAAACGGGAAGTATTCATTTTCAAATAAAAGTTTCGGTTACTTATTTGTCTGCTAGTCTTTTGTAGGCTTAGCTGCGCATCTTATAATTGTTTGTTTTGCTGCGAGTATTTTTCTTTAATGTTGCTTTTAGTGTTTTATTTACTCCTGCAATTGTAAATTTACTTGCCTTGACTTCGCGTTTTTTTTGTTTCGCTTAAAAGCTTTATTCTGCCCAAATTATTTCGGCCTATTTTTATTGGCTTATTACTATAGTTTTGGGTCGTTTCAAAGTAAACACAATTTTTACACTCCCCTTTGCCTTTCCTTAATTTGGTTGTAGGTTTACCTATCGGTTGATTGAAGTTTCCTTTATTTCATAGTTTTTTTCAGTTTAATAGGTTTCGGCTTGTTTTTTATTGACTTATTAGCTTCTTTTTGCGTTGTTTGATGCGCAAAAATGTTTTTGTGCGCCTGTGTTGTGTTACGAGGGGAATGCGGACGTAAAATTTTTTATTTGATTCGAATTTAATAAAAATAGGCTCGAAGCTTTTCTGCTCAGATATTTTTGACTTTGACACCGCTTGGTTAATTTTGTTCCAATGCTGATTTTGCATTCAATTCTTTGGGCATGTTTTTTTTCGCAACTATCTTCATTAATTTTGAGCTCAGGCTCGCCTCTGTCTACAATTTGACCCAGCTTAAAAATTTTGCGGAGATTGGTGAAAAATGTCATTTTCAGACCAATAAACTGGTAATTCAGCTCAACTAAATTTTTGTGATTTCTTCTTGAATAGCTCAACTCAGGTCTTTTTGAAAGTTTAGTTTAATTTCAAGGTGCTTGCTGGTCAATATTATCCTGGGAAACTGTGCTTGCTGGACAAAATTATCCTGCATTTCAGAGAGTAAAAACTTGAATTAGCGCTGAATTTTTTCCACTAGTGCAAGAGTGAGTTCGTCTGAAACGTGTCAATCCTGAAGTCCTAAAATTTCGTCATGCTTTTTGATGATTCCAAAATTTGAAATTTATATATTCTGAGTACAAAGCATTTTTTTCAATGTTATCTTTGTGAAAACTGTCCTTCAGTCAAAAAAATTTAAATAACTTAGGTCCTCGCTCTTTTTTCATTCTGGTGCTTTGAAAGTGTCAATTAACGAAAGGCACTCATTTAGATCGCGTTTTTTTTCTTCAAGAAATTTTTTGTGGTTTGTTTTTTGATTTTTTAGTTCTATTCCAATTCATTTGTTAAAGGCAATGCAATTTATCCATTAAAAGTCTCCATTACAAATGTGCAAATGGCATGAAAAACGTGAGTGACTCTTAGGTTCGAAAATAATTTTTGATTGCTTAAGGTTTTTCAGCGGAATAAAAAATACATTTAACCAACTTTTCTTTTATTGGGTTAGTTTAAATTAAAAAAAAATTACCAATTATAAAAGATTGCTGAAGTTCAAAGAACTTTTAGCATGACTTTTATCAGTCGAAAATTCAACAATTTCAAAAAGCGTTTTTCAACAAGCTAAATCATTTTTGTTTCTTATAAGCTCACAAAAGCTTATCCATTGACACTTTCAATTTTATGCTGGCAGCGTTAATATGCTTCGAGCTCCTGTTTTGAATCTATAATCCATATGAAGAGCACTTTACGCTCACCCGTAGCAAAAATTTACATTTAACTTTTGGCTGAAAAATAGGTGGATTTTCAGAATCGTTGGATAAATGAAAAACCGCACGTCTGCCAAATACCCTTTTATTTAAATTTCTTTAAGTTTCTCTAATTTTCGCCAGTTATGGAAGTTTATCTCGTTCAAGATTTCTGAAGATGAAAAAAAATAAGAATTTAATAGGCTGCTCTTTTTTTGGGACAACTCATAAACTGGATCTCTGAAAAGATGGATTGTTTGATGGAAATTAGTTAATGGCGAAGTGTTATTATGCGTTAAGTACCACAAGATAGGTTCAAAGGAGTTTATGTTGACCGTCCTTGATAAAGAAGATTTATCCTTCGAATATTTGCCATATGTGGGTTTCAAAAGCTATAAAGATACTATGGTTTGGTGCTTTGCTTGATAATTTTAGCCACAATTTTTTGTAGAGGCTAGGAATTTTTTATGATTTGACTGCAAAAATAATTGTAAGCTCTCAAACCCGATGATAGCATTTAGTGTTAGTAGTTGCCGCTGTTGAAAATCTTTCACCCTCGGAAAAATTATAAATCATCGCATTTAAAAAATCATTACGAGGCCAAACTGTGCATTTTGTAAATTGTAAGCGGATTCCGCAACAGGCAAAAATTAGATTTTTCGCGGAATCCGCAACTTTGCTAATTTTTCTTTGATCTTCTCTGCTGTTTTGGATTCTACGGACAAATAGTTAAAACACTGTATTGCTCAAAATCGCTCCAAAAACAGGCAACTTTGCGGAATCCGCAACAAAATGTGTGGAATCCGGAACCAGTTTGTGCAATCCATGAGCAAATAATAATATATGTGTTTAGTAAACTCAAGTTGTCGCGGAATCCGCAACGGTAAGCGGATTCCGCAAATTGTAAGAGGAATCCGCTCATTGTAAGCGTAATCCGCATAAATTTGCGGAATCCACTTACATTTGCGGAATCCGCTTACATTTACGGATTCCGGAACAACTACTAATATTCACTCGTTGCGGAATCCGCAACAAAATCAATGTGCCGACAAAATTAACGTTAGAGGTATTTGTACGCGGAGTCTACTGAAATTTTTTAAGTGGAATCCACTTACATTTTGGAACATTTTTTAAAGACTTGTCTCTGCAATCCAGGAACATACAGACACAAAATTGTGCGCCTATCCAGTGCACAGTTTCGCCTCGTAATGATTGATTGCCATTCGCAGCTTTTGCCTCGCTTATGCCTCAAAATTTCTTACATACGCTGTCTAGCATTGTTTTTCATTGTTTTAATCAAGCTGTAGCAGCTATGGTACCTTTTTCACGTTTTTTTTTGTAGATAAGAACCTAGCCGTTTTCCGCGGAGAGGATGGCGTGGCTTATGTAGTGGATGCCTACTGTCCCCACTTGGGGGCCAACATGTCAGTGCTGGGCAAGGTCATCCGCAACTGTCTGCAGTGTCCTTTCCACGGATGGACATTCAGGGGAGAGGACGGAGTGTGTGTGGACATTCCCTACTCCACATCCACCAACACTACATGTCAGTTTCGTTCGGATCTACAACTTGAAATTCATCATTATTTCTATTAAAGTTAAAAAACTAAACAAACCTTATGAAGCCAAATCTCATGACGAAAAACAAATTGTTTTTCAAACAGTTTTCTAAGCAAAGTTTGTCAGTTTTTCTAGACAAAAAATCAAAATAAAATATCTTGCCAGAAAATTTCTTGAAGACGATCAAGCTTGAATTAAATGACGCGCGTTGTTTTTTTTTCGTTGAGAAATGAATATTGTTTGCTTGAATGTGATATCTTCAATCAAAATGGAAAGAAAATTCAATAATTTCAGACCCTAAGCAGGCGCGTGTGAACTCGCACATTGTGATGGAGCGGAACGGGGTAGTGTTCATGTGGTTCCACTCGGAGGAGGCGGAGCCAGACTGGGTCATCGACCCGATCGAGGACTACGAGGGCTACTACGAAGCAGGCCAAATCACACACACCATCAACTGCCACATATCTGTAAGAGACATCTAACCTCCAAGTTCAAGACCTATTTATTATTCAGGTGGGAAATTTTCAATATACGAGATCTCTAGTTTTTAATGAGCTGTTTCAGTTTCACTTTTTAGGCCCTCCTCTTTTTCAGGAGAAGTACTCTAGGATACCCGTGGGCCAGTAAAACTTAATTCATTGTTTTTTAAGAGTCGATTGTTTTTTGAGTAATTCAGACTTTTATAAAGGTCGCGATGATTTTTCTTCGTTATTTTTTTAACGGAAAAGTCTTACATTTTGTTCAGGCTCAAATTTACTTTTTTTTTGCGGTTTGACTTTTGATTTCTTTTTAACTTAAGTTCATTTCCTTTGTTAAAAGGGAGGCAAACTCCTCTATCGAACAGTAAAAGTGTAAAGGTCACAAAAAGCAAACGTGATCGTTTTCTAGTTTCGAAAAAAAAAATTAATTTTCAGATTCCCCAGCGAAATAAAAATTTACCTTTCGATCAAGTTTTTTCAAAATCAGTTAAATTTAGCAAAAAAAATATCAATCATAAAGTGTTCTTGTAATTCAACTGGCTTTAAGGTCATATATTTTTTTATTTGCAGCTCGAAAGTTGAATTTCTCAAACAAACAAGTCAGAATATATTTTTTTCTGTTTTCTTGCGTTCGTTGACTCTTTTTCCAACTCTATGCTGGCTATGTTTTAATCAATGAATGTACGTGTTGTTTTTTCAAGTGCAAAAGAACGAAGTTATATCATCTTTTATAGGTCTTGGTGGTATCTTTTTTTCGTCTTTGAAGAAAAAAATATTAAACTGCTCTAATATCTACAGAAGTGCACTCATACTTATTAATGCACGTATGAATGCCCATAGGCATATGTGCAGTTCAAGAATCGATGAACATAGTTTAGAATCTTATATAGGCCGCGATGGTTTTTTTCTCGTTTTTTCCAGGAAAAGTTTTTAAGTTTGTTCAGGCTCAAATTTACTTTTTCGCGGTTTGACTTTTGATTTCTTTTTAAGTTCAGTTCATTTTCCTTTGCAAACTCCACTATTGAACAGCAAAAGTGTAAAGGTCACGAAAGGGTGAAATAAATTTTATTCTTATTGATTGTTTTCTCAAATTAGGTTGATTTTATCAAAGAAGAATCAATCTTAATTTGTTCTTGAAATTCAAAAAGCTTTAACCTGATATAATTTTTTTCTTCAAAAGTTGAAAAAGGTTCAAAAAATTTCGATATGTTTTTTTTTTGGTTTCATTGTTCTTTGAAATTTTTCCAACCTTCTGTTGGCGATATTTTTAATTTCGCATTGGAAAATATTGCCTCTCTCAATCAAAAAAATTGTTCATTTTTAAAACATTTTTTTTAATTTTCAAAGCTTTTATCTTTGAAACATTTGTTTTCTAAGCATGCTGCAAGTTTATCTATACAATGTGTGTAAGATTTTTTATTACTACTACGTTATTTTTTATCTGATTGTTTTTCAGCGGCCGATAGAAAGTATTTTTTTGTTCTCGAGCCACTTCAAATATGACCGCAGAACTTTGTTGTCAGTTTTTTTGAAGTATTTTACAATATTGTTCAACTTCTTTGATGACATTCTTGGTTTTCTAAAATGTTGCGGTTTTTAGATAGTACTTAATTTATATTTTTCTTGTAGTATGATACGCTAAACAAAAATGATTTATGCATGTCATTGTTTATGCATGCGAGGTTCCTTAAAACAGACACCATTTTGCCTCAAGATTTTCTGCTCTGCACGCAATTTTTCGGGACAAAAACACGCCAAAATTTCGACCTTCAACTCCTCTCTTTTCAATCAGCTACTGACTGTATGAATAAAACTTACTGCTTTCAGGAAATCCCCGAGAACGGAGCTGACTTCGCACATTTCTTCATGCTGCACGAGGACAACATGCTAGCGGGTGGGGACATGCAGATAACAAAGTCCAAACTCGGCAAACTGATGACTCACAAATGGACGCCCAAGAACTGGACTGTAGGGTACGGGGAGGAGAAACACATGATCAAATTCGACCTGCACCTGGAGACTTATTTTGGTCAGAGTTCAATCAGGGTACCAGGGTTCAATGAAATGAAGGCTGAAGTCCGCCAGGTTGGTAGTTGGACGTCTTGAAAAAATAAATCAGCATTTCAAAACCAGAAAGTTACGGTCTAAATTCAAAGGCTTCGAGAATCGAAAACACGCATAAATGTATCTAAATATCATTTTGTTTTTCAAACGGAACTTCAAAATTGGTCAAAGAGAAGCCAAAAATTGTTTTTAACATGGCCAATTAACCAAAAAAAACATCCTTAAAAAGCGTCGGATAATTTTTGGCGTGAACTGTGTCTTTCTTATATATTTTGTCTTATATTTTCTTGTTTTAAAACGATAATCTACGCATGGATGTTGTGTTGTTTAGATGGGTCCAGCTTACGTGTCTCTCAAGATAGACCTGGGACTGCTATTCCAGGGCTACTTCATTCAGACCATCCAGCCGGAGGAACAGTTTCTTCAAAGGGTCACCCACCGCATCATCGCCAAGCCACACAACCAGCTCCTACTGACCAAACTATACCTCCAGAGTGAACGCTTCCAGGTCAGTCCACATGATTCAAAAAATTATGCGTTTGAACTTTCTTGGTATTTTTTGGTATAACCTTTCAGTTGTGAATTTGTCATTATATAGTTTTCAATTCAACCAGAGATTAAAAATCAGGCTTCTCAAACTCATAGGAGTATTTGCAAAAAAAGCTAGCTGCGAAAGAATGTGCGTTACAAAAAAGGTGTAACGCTAAGGTTTTAGGATAGTGATTTTTTGAATGTAATTTTGTTTTGAGATATGAACAGATTCTTTTTACATCGATCGAATGATCGTCAAGTTCGGCATTGCTTGTCATAGGTCGTTATATCTATGGACTGATAAATAGTCAGATCTTTTTCGTTTCAAGTTTGAGAGAGATGTATCAATGTGGAATCACAAAGTGTACCAGACGAATCCAGTGTTGATCAAGGACGACGGACCCATCCGAAAGTATCGCAATTGGTACCAGCAATTTTACTCCACAGTAGCCAAAAAAGACGACTCAGCCGAGATAAATCAAAATCCGAAATACTCACAGAAATCGGCTGAAGTTGTGCAGTCCACAACCAGCGATAAAGAGGTCACCGAGAACAGTATTATTGTGAATGGTCACGCGGACAAATCAGGGTGGAAGAAGCCGAATGACCTTGACTGGTGATTGGTCGATAACTTAGTATAATAACTTCTTAGCGACATGGAACATCATTTGGTGCATCGCTATATAGAGTTGCAAAAAGTTCGGACAGAAAAATACTCAGCTAAAAAAGAAATTTATTGCCTTCGAAAAAAATTTGCAAAAGCTACTTTTTTTAGACAACTGAAGATCTAAGATTTTTATGACAGTCAAAAAAGTTTTGAAATTTTTTTATCGACTTACGATTGACTAAATTGATTTTACAAGCTCTCCCAAAGCTTAAAAAAATGCGTTTTGGCCAAATTATTTGCACCGCAGGCAAATTTTGAAAAAGCAGGCAAAAAAATCGCGCTTTGAAAATTTTAACGCGCGCTTCCCCCTCAAAATTATTAACTATTGGCGCCTTTAGAAAAAATTTAGGGTCCGTCAGTCAAAAATGGATATCTCAAATTAGTACTTAGGGGGGACCCTTTGGGTTGGCAGGTGGTCGAATCCCTGAGGAAGGGGCCGTCCCCCAACCCCTAAATCCGCTGATGGTCTGAAACCCCAATTTGCATCAAATTTTTTAAAGATTTGTAAATTGATCGAGGTTGACTGATCAATTCTCTATGTTCGAACTTTTTGCGACTCTCTGTAGCAAAATTGTTGTCAAAATTTCGTTTCTACAAGGTATTTCAAAACTCATTCTATTGAATTAAAACCCAAATAATGAGAAGTTGAATCATGCTTTGAGTGAACCAGTTTTGACTGTATACCAACCGAAGTTATTTTTATTTCAACAATATAACTAGTTAATTGACCAATATAAGGCTCGTTTTCTATGGTACATATCACATCAGAAAGATACTGTTTTTTTGGCGTGTATGTTTTAGCATTTTTTAATTGATTGTCTGTCAGTTTTGTCTCTTTTCAATGTCTGAGCTCACTCTTTTTTACTATAATGTCATAGCTTACACCCGAGAATTTTCAATTAACTTAATTGATAAAAAAAACTATTGTTTTTCATCTTTTCAACAACAAGATGCTAATTTTTCAACACCCGGTTTTAATTTTTATTCCGACGCTTTCATAAAGTAAATGAAAGGAACTCAAGCGTAGGGTATCAAGTGTGGTATCAAACTCAAGTCCAATTGGTCGAGATTTTAATTCCAAAACATTTCCGAAAAAAATGTCTGTCGAGAAATGTTGGTCTGAATTTGTTCGGTTGGCAAACTTAATTATACGATAATTGAGAGGCTGACCTCCTCTCTCCACAAAATTTTTAGCTTCATTTCAATACCAGTTTTGACTTTATTTTAGCGAGCAAAAGTTCTCATTCTTGCAGTTTTCATCTAATTCAGTCGCCGTTTATTTGAAACAAAAAAAATAACCAAAAATTTAGAAGAGAAATGAACAAAAAAGTTATCTTTTTCTCTCAAATCAGTGCGTTCGGAACATTCGGCGATGCTTCCATGTTTGAGTTTTATTTAGAAAAAATTGAAGTTTTACGGTGAGTTTTTGACAAATAAAATGAATGGTTTGCCAGAAGTATTAAAAATAGTTTAAAATGGTGTTTTTATCTCTTCATAATAAGTTAAAGAAGTTTGTGTGTGTGTCTTTTACCAAACTGCCAGGATATAACTCTTAAGGCCGTAAAGTTTTACATGTATGTCGGTATCTTCATATGAAAATGATGAGTGTCATGTGGAAGAATTAGCTTAATTTGGCCAAGGAATTGATGGGGGGGGCAAATTATGGATTCATCGACTTGTACGTTTCTTTTGCAGTTCGTTTCCATTTGTTGGTTAGACGTCAACACGTGTACTTTTTGACAAAAATTTAAATTAGTTTCATTTTGAGTTACAGTCTTTAAAATTGACGCTATGGAAACTTTAAAGAGCACAGAAAAAGGCAAGTCTCCCCATTTTTTGAGGAATCGCTGTTTGCAGAGTTAATGAAGCGATCGTTTTTTGAGTTACAGCAAGATCGTTTCTCTTTTTTTTATGAGCCGCAACGTGGTGGGTTAAGTCCGGGGTGGCTTTCTCATAGAGTAATTTCGAATAAGGTACACCAACTGCTCGTCACGTTATCTTAATTTCGGCCGGATAGATTTGTGCAATTTTTTAGTCTAATACTGGTTCTAATCTTACTCTTATATTTCTTAGTGTCAATAATTCTAGTATATACTGGTTTTGTAGCGCGGTTAAAAGCGAGGAAGAGCGAATGTTTACTAAGTTAAATTTACTCTTCACTGGCTGAAACTATTAGTAGTTTCAGTCTTACAAATTCTTGTAAGTTTTTGTCATGGATCATGATTGGTTAGTTCTTAGTGTTTTACAGTAATAATTATCAAGAATATAATTGATTACATTAAATACTTGTTTCGATCTGGTTTCACCCATACGGGGTTTGGGAAGTTTCTAAGTTTTAGGTTTGATCGAGTAAAGATTGGATGGAGAAAATCTTTATTTCTTCTTTGAGTTGATTGTTTGAAAAGAGTGAAGAAAGAAGAGTAACAGTTGCTACTCTCATCAAAAATAGTAGTGCCTGTCTTAAGCGTGGGTGTAGCGCGGTGGTTGATGTGGGCTATAGAGCATGCTCAGGACATCCTTTGCTCGGGAGTGAGGCCAGATGGAGTTTACTTTCTTCCGTCTCTGTGAGAAGAGTCTGTAATTGTTGATAACCTTTATTTTCTTTTTCATCAGTTGTTTTGTTCTTTTGAATGTATCTTTTTCTCTTAGTTCATTAGCGTTTGATGTGGTCTTAATGAAACTTTTAAATAAAAGTTCAAAAGTGTACTTTATCCAGTTTAATCTGGTTTGGGTACCGTGAAGTTTTCCTGTACTTGTCGTTGGTATGGTGGTGTTAGTAAGCTGCGTTGGTTAGTTAAGCTTAGTTTTATTTGCTTCTTCCAACCGAATTAAGCGAAAATTTGAAACGCGTGAAAGCAATTTAAAGTTGTTATCATTTAGTTTTCTATATTAAAAATTCATTTATTTCTCAAATACTACAGTGGCGAGTAACGTTGAATTGTGTGGAAAGAGTGCGTAAAAAGTGGGCGCGTCAAACGGCAAATGTAAAAACTATAAAATATAGCACATATAAAAAGTTTTGTTGTATCCCAATTCTTTACTTATTAAATCAAGACTTCGTATAAGGAATTCACAGCATAATTATTTTAATACAGTGCTGCGTATAAATTTAATTGCAATTTGTAAATTTACAATGAACTGTTAGCATTTTTTATTAAAAAAATTTTTTACTTAGATTTTAAATATTGTTTTAAGAAAAGTTAGTGGTGAATCTAAATGGAAATGATGAGACACACGTGTAAAAATGGTAAATGAAATATTGAAGGTTATTAAGTGAGATCTATGTATGCATATTTTTGAGGGTCTGGCTCCGAAAAAGTCCATTGGCAAATTTAGTTTGTCTTTTGGGTGAGTGCATTTAAAGTTTTGCGAGCATTCGAATGACATTTTTAGTACGTAAATATGGCTTAAAGAGTTGGAGTGTGCGGATGATTTTAACTTTTTCAATCGTGGCGGAAAGCTCGTGGTTAGTATTTTGTATTAGATTATACAGTTTGTGAGTACATTTAGTCTTATGAAATTGTTCTAAATGGGGAATTTCAACAGGTTGGATGCACTCATGATGATAATGGGGCACGTGTCTTGAAGAGAGAGATTATTCGTGAAGGGACAAAAAAATGTATACATTTGGTGGACGCAATCATCGTTTTGGAGGATGCCGTGAAGGCTAGTTGGTTTAATACAATAAGTGAAGTTATTAAAATAGGATGAGTCATATTCGGAGTTAATGAACATGTAGTGGTGATGAAGGTTTCGGGATAAGAAGCTATGAAAAAATTGACGTTGTATGAATCGGTATATGCGTGGGGTATGAATCGGTATATGCGTGGGTGTGTAAGCTTGGTTTTAGCGTGATTTCGTGCGAGCAGTCAATGTCATGCTATTTAGGGATGAGGAAGTTAGAAGTTAGTTGCAAACGATCGAATTTGCTAAACAATGAATTGTAAACTTTGATGTTCTGAAGTGCATGGTCAATAACTTGATCAAGGATTTTTTTAGTACTATCTGAATCAAATATGTAGTCAGTTTTAATAAAGACTTTTTCGGTTAGTTGGGGAATTTACTGCGGGACCTGTGTCATATGGTGAATCTTCCGTGTAGCGTGTGGTCATATGCGTGATAAAAAACTGATTAGTTCTGCGTGCATTGAAGCGGTTAAGTGTTTGTGAGAGTCGAATGCTAGTAAATTGGTTGAGGTGTAGTGCAGCTGTGAGTTGTGGGCGATAGTGTCACAAAGTTTATCGTCATGGGTTGTTCTTAGTGGAGTTTATAGAGGCTTATTTAAATTATAAAAGGATATCCAGGAGAGTGTGGGGACGTAGGAAAATTCGTCGACCTAGGCGTTATGTTGGACTGGGCTTCTGTATTGTCAAATGTTTAGTGGGGGAAGAAGGGAAAGTTTTTGGCTGAAAAAGGTGGTGTTTTAGTATGACGAGGATTACTTCGAAGAAGACGTGGTGATAATGGGCGGTTAAGTAAATATGTTGGCGGGTTAGTAGCGTACTTCCGATTTGGTGGGGCGTTGCGGATAAATGATGTGGATGATTCTGATTTTGAAGTGGAGTGGTTTAATCGATATATAGTGGGTTGATTGTTATTAATGTGAATTTGTTGCAGATTGTGTATGAAACGATCGAGCTCATGCTCAAGTTGGTTATCAGTCATGAGGCTGGGGGTATCGGGGACATGACTGGGAAGAGGAGATAAAATGGGGGTAGCGTCGGTATGTGAAAATTTGGACGGGGAGAGTACTACAGGAGAAGGGGAGTTTTTGGGACAAGGGTGCTTGAGAGAAATTAGTATGGCTTAGTTCGGAGTCTCAAAAATTGTCGGGTGTATCAATGGTAGGGTTATTTAAAGTGGATCAAATGGTAGAAAAATTAGGGCTACACTGGTAAGGGAGAAGAGGTACGATGGAGAGTAGTCGGTACAGATTGGAGGGATAGGAAATAGAACGACTCAGTGATCCAATCCGGCGGCTCATCGTGGGCTTAAATGATGATTGTTTTCAGAAATTATGGTATGTGGTTGTTCTATTATTTGGTCAT